AGTCAAGTAGAAACAGTCAAAATATTTTATCAGATTTTCTCAATTTTTGCATGATATTTTCATACAGGACATCTGTTGTTCAAACTCAAAGAAGACTTTATACTGATGAATAAGGTGACCAAGTTTGATAAAGTTTGGAATAGAATTAGTAAAGTTATTATGCACACAATAACAATTATTAACGACGACAACAACGACGCCGGACAAAATTGTTCCCTTAATATACCTTTCCCTTCCATCTTTGATGGTACGGGCAAGGTAATAAATCATATCTGATTATAATAAGATATTACAGTCAGATGGTTGTCCTCACACTTGCATCACATTCACACAACATGACAACACTGAGAGATTTCCTTCAATTCCAAATAAGTGAATACTTACTGTTGGAATTTACAATTTTTGCCATCCGGACAAAACCCACATAGATAATTGACACATATAACCCTTCTTGTGTGTCTATTTCTGCAGTGTGGACCTAGAAAAGCAACAAGACAATACATGGTACACAACTAGATGTAGATGTAGATGTGATTGTGGTGTATATCAATCAATATGAATCATATTGATTCCTTAACATCAATAAGATTAGAATCTAACATTAAAGTTAGATTAGAATCTATGTAGTGTTTCAATGAAATCACTATACCTCAATCCACTAATGCCTAAGTACGATGCTAGCAGTATTACATGTATGCAACATAGAGTCTATGCTGTGTTTCAGTTGCTATACCTCAACCAAATTATGCCTAGGTATAATGCTAGTAATATCTCATTATGCAGCCAGAATCTATGTGGCGGTTCAATGAAATGATATAGAGAAGAAATACGTTAAAATCTATGTTGGGTTTTGCAAAGGATTGTGGGACAGAGAAAATTGAACTCTAGAGGCAGTGAGGGAAGGGGTAGTCCAACAAATTAACCGCACAATATATAAAATATAAAAAAAAACATAAACATGTTACTTGAAAACAGTACAGGTTTACAGTTGATGTTGGCATAACAGGCTGTATGGGAAAGAAATGAGCCCCCCCCCCAACGCCCTCTATAATTCAATTTTTTATCCCACAATCCTTTGCAAAATCCAATATGAAGTTAACACATGTCTTTCCTATACCTAAATATATAATAGGTACAAAGCTATATAATCTCATTACCTTTCAGATTTATGCAAACATAATCATAATTATGTCAGTTTAAATACTGCATGCTGGAATTCCCCACAACTACACAACCTCAGATTAAACAGTCAAATTCACAGGTGATGTGATATTACTAGCATCATACCTAGGCATAGTTGATGGCATTTTCAATCAACCAATCAAATTCACAGTGAATAGGCATTATACCTTTCAATGGCTTACTGAATAATATCACTATGACATTTTGAATGAGACTTACCATGTTTACAGAACCCTCTATCATACCACGCACAATCTTTTATTTTTGATTCAGGATCTATATGTAGAAAGGGACACTCTTTGTTGCTGCACAGACCTGTAGAACAAAGAAAGTCATACATCAGTACAAGAGATAAGAAAGTCAATATGGATTTAAATGGGATTTTAATTTATGGTAGAAGCCTACTCATAATTTTTGAGAAAGTTGGTCATAAATCGCATGACAATGTTTATTGGTTTATTTTGTCAAATCATGAAGCTATAGTCCATGGTATAATTAATAGCATTACTAGTATTTTGTGTGTTTCAATTACTTTTTTTGAAAAACTTGTTCTTATATTTTTCAAAAATCGCTATTTTTAGAACAGTTTTATAGACCATAAATGTTGAAGGAAAATTAACTTTTTTTACATTTTTAAAAACCCAGATTTTTTAAATAATTGAAGACGATAAAAAGTTCTCCATTCATGATATATGATTTTATCAGCCTGTGTTACTAGCGTACATGTTGAGATATGGCATATCTCTGCTATGGAAACCAATTGTAAAATCATTAAAATACTGACAAAATGACAAGTATCCAATAAACTTCAACTATCATTTTCTAGAAAATTAAGCTGGTGACCATAACTTTTTTTAAGTTAATATTCTTATATCGCCCAGGAGTACAGTTTATTGTAAATTGAATAAATTCCGGGTATTTGCATTTATGAGTTGGCTTCTACCTTAAAGTGGCATTCAGCCTTCGTAATGCTGTTAAAACTTACTATATAGAGTCTATTGCGAGGTATTTGTGCATGTGAAATATGTGGATAGCGAGAAATCGGCCTGAAACAAACAACGACTGGAGACAAATTTTTTATTTTTTGGTGGGCCACCCATAAACAAAGACCCGAAGGTCAGCTACTCGGCTTTGTTGTTGAAATCAGTTGGCCTAGGGATATATATATGTATATATCTTTGAATAGATTAGAGAGTACCAGTAGTCTAAAACTGTAATTGATGAGGAATGGCAAGAAACAGCTATTATCATGTGAAAGTAATCAGTGTATTATGCCACATCTAGATCAGCACAAATGTAGGATTCTTGGGTAATACACCAGCAGCACAAGCATCGGTATATGTATCATAGTAAATGCACAGGAATAGTTTTTATTGTGTGAAATTCTTACCGAATTATTTAACCACAATTTGTCATCCAAAGATTCGTTAGGTATTGATGTGGAGAGCTACTATATGGGAAGAGATTTCCCTTGGAGATGAAAGGAATAGTTTATAAGAGTTGTGTGAGATCAGCATTGCTGTATGGGAGCGAGACATGGTGTTTGAGTGAAAATGAGTTGGGTATTTTAAGGAGGACAGAGAGAGCGATGGTGAGAGTGATGTGTGGGGTGAAGTTGATGGACAGAAAGAAAACTAAGGACTTAATGCAGATGTTGGGTTTGAAGGAAGCGGTAGATCGGTTGGCGAAGGCAAATGGGGTATGTTGGTATGGGCATGTGCTGAGGAGGGAGGATGGGCATGTATTAAGAAGGGCCCTTGATTTAGAGGTGAGCGGTCCAAAGAAAAGGAAAAGGGGAAGGCCAAAGAAGACGTGGAAGATGCAAGTGGAGGAGGAGAGTGGGAAGGTTGGGATGAGGATGAGGGATGCTTTAAATCGTGCAAAGTGGAGGGAGGGGGTAAGAGCGATTGCCACTAGTTTAAGGTGAATCCGGCCACCCTCGTCTTCGGGGACCAAACCAGATTTAAAACTCTTGACTACTACTATTGATAACATATCAGTATAAATGATGTAATCCGGTTAGTGAATTTGGATTTATAAAGTGTTTTCTCTTTGACATCTCGCCATTTTGTTTTATCTACACTACGATACACATCTGGGTGCATATTAATTGTTTTATACAGTAGGTGCTGCCAATCAGATCAATGTATTTTAGAGGGATTAATATTAACATGACCTCTCATTAGAATCATGCACAGGTTCATGTCTTTACATTGAGGTTGTGAACATACGATTTGGATGATGGAAACGCATAAATAAGAAATAAAATATATTCACTTACCAAATTTTGAAAAAAAGAAACATTCTGGCATTTTTGTCATGTCATACTCATGAAGAAATTCACACTGGTCTCCTTTTTTGCATAAACCCCTCAGCCAATGTTTGCAAACAACGCTGCGATCACCACGTACATGTCGGAATGGACAACTTCCACCTTTTAAGCAGTCCCCTTGCTTAAAGAACACACATATTGCAGATCCGGATTCTTGAAAAGAAATGTGAGAAAACTTATGTTGTGATGACAGGTCTTAATTGAAAATTTATTCAAAAATTCATATTGAGAGGAAAGGATATTGTACATTTGATAACATATGGAGCTTGACATAAAAATTTCCCAGAAAATGAAATTAAATTTCTGAATAATTTTGTTTTTTATTAAAGATATCAATTTTCATGATATAATAATTTGATGCTATGTTTGGGATGAAATTTCAGAGAACTCACTGTCTTGAATATTTGGGCTCACTGCTATAAAATTTTACAGTTTTTCCCGATTTGACAAATTGGTAAAAATTTTACTCTCTGTGTAATAAAGGCATTCCCTTCATCATTATAATTTAAATAACAGTTAGATCCAATCAACTAATCAGCAAGCACAGTACACAACGATGTCTTGTGCAAACGTTATAATGTTATTTAATCGACCAATCATTTCAGTTTGAATTGTGAAATTTATAAACATTTATAAGGACGAAGGAAATGCAGTTGCTGTGCTGTGAGTAACAATAATGTAGAACGCTTTTATTTTGTGAGGCATTGTTAGAGAAAATCTACATTTCACAAGTGATGTTCACAAAATGATGTTGGTTCATGAATAAATACTAGCCTATGATGTCACTTGTATCACAATGTTGAATGACAACCTCGTAATACATGTATATTTTATTTGACACTAAATCACATATATGTAGTGAATACATAATTTATGATCAATTGAACATAACACTAGTAAATGTACTTCCTGCATATATGCATTTGTGTATGTATACAATTTCTTGAATGGGAGGTTATACCAGGGCACAGTCACATGTTGAGAGACTGTGATCAGGTGTGGATATACTAGTAGTTTGAAAACAATGTGAAGTGTCACTTTATTACCAAACAGCGTTGTTTTATAGTTTACATCAAATGTATTTGATTTACATATTACATAAATAACTTATGAAAATACAATATTAAAACTTTCAATTTCACAAACCTAAGACAATATTCCTTGACCTTAACACAACAATGGCCGACATGCCCGATTTTTTACACATGAAAATTAAAAAGTGCAAAAATAATGTCGAAATACTTTATTTTTCTCGATTTACGATCTTAGGGGCAAAAAAACAAACAATAATAGATATCAAATATAGGGAGACCCGTCTTGTTTATGTCTATTACGGTCGTGTTTGTTGTGAGCGCTTGCAATGTAGAGTGAAAGACTTACTATCCATTCCAGGAAAAGGCAATGGTATACTGCCCAACTGCTGCTCTAAAGCCAGTTCTATGTCGAACTTTATGTTCGAGACATTTGATACTATGTTCTGCATAGTGAAATATATGTCTGATCGAACCAAATCTGTATATATTATTAGTCGAAATCGACACAACAAAAACAACGCTGTAGATTTCTATTTCCACGCCAGGAGTCTATGACCTTCCGGCCGAGATGCATTTCGGTAACGACCTGAGATACCCCCTAAGATAATGGGAAAAATTAATGCGGAAGTCAACTTTTCACTTTTCACTACCTTCCGAGAATCATGATTCAACAACTATATCCGCCGTATATATTCAGGAACTAGCTCACTGAGTACTGCAATCTGTGTTCGTGATGTCACTTATTTCATTGTGTAGTTCTCGGCTGCTGTAGTTCTCGATACCCGGACAAAGTCGTTGGCCTCAGGTGCCTAACATTTGGAAGAAACCGCGAGAGCATGATGAGTTCAAGTTCGTAACATCAAATCATGAACCAAATCAGTTTGAGAACTGAAAAGGGCGAATACAGTGGAGGAGAGACCATATTTGGGTAAGGCGGAACGTTTGATCGAGTGCAATGAATGAACACTGCTCTGATCGATAAACATAAACATAACATTGAATTCTTGACTTTAGTGTAGCGAAGCATCCCTTTCTAGCTCCATGAGCGAAGCGACGGTGTTATGGGGCAGGTCCGAGTGATTACTGCAGAAACTTGTCATTGGTATTTGGCAATTTTTCATGTTCATGTGCATTTACTAGTAATTCAGCCAATTTCAGCGAAATTGAAAACCTTAAAAATGTTATGTATTTACTTTTTGATAATAATAATAATAATAATAATAGTAATAGTAATATTAGTAATAATAATAACTTTATTGCTTCCATGTAAAAAGATTTACATAGGATAGGTACAGCAGAAAAGAGCTTTAAAATAATAACAAGATATATGTAAAAATATTATAAAAAACAAACAACAACAAACAACAAAGAATGTAACTAGTATTTAAATGTTAAATAACTCTTTGTGTTGTGTAAATATAATTGGCAAGTTCTATAATTATGCCAGGATCTTTGCTTGAGAATATATATGTGAACTAATTATTTTTATTTTTGGATGAAAGTAGTGTAATTTTTTGGATGAAGTTTTCCCTGTGTGTGTTATATTTTGGGCAATTCAATAGAAAATGTTCTTCATCTTCAATTGATTAAGTTACTAAACATATAACTATAGCAAAGAGCTGAGGTGTAAGAGACTAACTCTCTGTTACTTAATCTGAGGATTAAGTTAGGAAACAACATCAACACAAAAAACATGAATTAAAAATTTTACAATATTTACAACAAAAAACAATTTTACAATGTTTTGGGGTTTTTACAAATGTACTAGGAAATACATTAATTAATTAATTCATTAAAAAAATTACCTAATTATACACTGTATATTAAATATGCACAGATTTTTCACCTGTGACACTGTTAATTTCAAATATGAACTTATCATATTACATTATTTAATTAAAAAAAATTACCTAATCATATAATAAATATGCACAGATTTTTCCCCTGTCACACCCTTAATTTCAAACATAAACTTATCATTCTTCCAGCCTCGTCTCTGATTGTACGCCACTTGAAACTGATGTACAAATATTAAGAAACTTGTTTCAGTTCAACATTTCTCTGCTCTAAAAGTATACTCATGTGGAACTTAATTTTTTTGCAGAGTTGTTTACCTAAGAATTGCCACAGCAACAGTTGCACAAGCTATCCAGTTGAATTTAAAGGGTTTTGAAAGCTGTAAGTTGATACTTCCTAGCTATAGAAAAGAGCAGCTACCGGTAATCCCAAACACTTGTAATAAGTGGAAAGCTTTTCTTTTCTTACAAACTAAAATATTTAGATTTAGAAAGATTAACTGAATAAAAGTGAACAACATACAATGTATATAAAACCTTTAAACCATTATTTCTATCTGTACTGATATTTTTTCTACAGCTGATTTTTTTCAACCAAAAAAGCATACTTCATTCAAAGCATATGCAGAAGAAGGAATACCAGAGACTGCTGAATCACACAAACCGAAAGATGCCAAGAATGACATAAGTATATCCCTAAACACTGACACATACAGTGAAGTATTGAAGGGACTAAAATACTACTTCAATACCTCAGTGTCACTGTGGGAAGAAAAAGGTAATTGTGGATTTTCCGAACTTCTTAATCTACAATATCTCACGTTATGCATGACAAGTGTAGAATGAACGTCTACAGCAAAAATCCAATGATTGTATTTTGAACTTTAATTTTTTTTTATAGTTCAATGTCAAAAAAATGATCTTTCAGACGGGAACATAGCCTTACTTCATCAAAATTGCCCATCATCAAATGTGTACATGTATATAACATCATTAATGTAAAAATATAACCCCAAAAATACAATTATTAAATCCCACATAATGCTTTGATCCTGTGAATTTTCCTGTTTACATTCATACGTATTACAGGAACAAAAAAATTCTAGAAAATGGCTTAGCGGCTGTCATACTGCAATTAGAGAATATACCAAACACAGTTTTCTTAGTCTGAAAGAAATATGTATGCAGAATTAAGTTGAATTGTTTGTGGTGTAAATGTCTTGAAAATAAGCTTTTTGAGAAACTTGTTCTTATATTTTTCAAAAATCGCTATTTTTAGAACAGTTTTATAGACCATAAATGTTTGAACATGAAACATGCACTACATGATGACTAGGTTTTGAATACCAGTGCAACATTTTGCAAAATTTTATGGATTTTTTGAAATTCTTTTATACTTGTTTATTTTGTAAAAACTAGCAAAAGCTGACTTTACGATACAAACCTTTTATAGTTATAAATGTACAGTATATGTACATCAAAGTTACATACCCCTATGTAGTAAATCCTTGGTAGTACATGTAACTTATAATATTCCTTTACTTTTGAATTATATGTGCATTTTTTTTCTTGTAGGTCCACTTCCAAGGGGTCATTATGTAATCCCTTTCCAGTATAATTTACCTCCAGATATTCCAGGTACCAACTTACCTTTTATTACTTAGTGTAACAATAAATATACATAAAGGAGGGGTTTCTGGCTATTCATTGTATGAATATAGTTATTGACTTCCTGGCCCACCCCACAGTGTGAATACAAAGTATAATGTTTTATAAAATATTGTGTAATATATTAGTTTAAAATTGTGCTGAAAAATTGAAAAGAATGAGTTATTGGTAAAAATCCTTAAGGTAGATGTCTACTCATAAATGCAAATACCCAGAATTTATTCGTTTTGCAATAAATTGTACTCCTGGGCAATATAACCATATTGACTTTAAAAAGTTGAGTCATCTGCTTGATTTTAAAGAAAATGGTTTTATTTTAGTGGATAGTGGCCATTTTTTTAGTATTATAATGTGGCAGAGTTATTATGCCATATCTCAAATTGTAGTAACAGAGGCTGAAAAAAATATGTATTGTGACTGATGGGGTGCTTTTTGTTGACCTCAATTATTTCAAAAATCTGGGTTTTAAAAAGTGTTGTGTTCTATGGAATTGTTCTAAAAATGGTGATTCTTTTAAAATATCAAGACGAGTTTCTCAAAAGGCATCATTGTAACACAAAAAATAATTCCATTTCATGGCGTCTTGGAACAATAGATTCATGATTTTACATAATAAACTAATGAACATTGTCATGAGATTTATGACCAACTGTCTCAAAAATTATGAATAGGGTAGGCTTCTACCTTAACATCCTATTTTGTATATCTGTCAACAGCATGAGACCAGGCACTAGCTGTTTCTTGTATCGTAAATTTTAGTTGAAGATTTAAGAATGAGACATTTCTTTTTGCTTTCTGCAATATTAATTCCATTTTCTCAAATCAACAACAATCTTAAAGTTGAATTGTTGGAAAATCTTAGTTGAAAGCCTTAGTAATTTGAAGTAGCTTGTCCAAAAATCAAATCTGAAAGTTATGGCATTTGCGAAATATACAGATCATAATCTGATGTATTGCGTTTATTGGCTAAGATATTTATTCAAAAAGGACCTAATTGTTATAAGAGAAAATAATTCAAGAGATTTGCATGCATCTCAGACTAATCTTATTGAAAAATGCTTCAAATTGAATCTTGAGTTTGTAATTATGTCCGCCTTTGATTGCCCAACAGAGAATTCCACGTGTGATTTGCTGTCATGTTGCACACATATAAAATTGTCAGAGGCTTTGAACAAAATGCCAACAGTACAACAATCAAAACCATTATAATTTCACTACTTCGGTGTTCAAGGTTTGTTGGTTTATTCCCCGTAGCATGACCTCATTGAAATGATCACTACTGCAATCGTTCTGAAATCACAAAAATGGAGTTTTGCAAAATTTAGGTGGTTTACAGCACCATATTTGTTCTATTAAAAGGGTATATGCTTATGTGGTAAAAATAATATTTTAATAATATAGTATACAATACATGCAAATGTTGGTTTACATGGCCTTGATTGGAGATCCAATAGAAATAATATGGTATCTGCCTTACTAATTCAAATCGCTTTGGATAGGAAAAAAAAAAATCGCCATCTTGTGAAAAAATTATTTTACAGGCGTTTTTATAAGTGTAGGCATTTATTTGGCTGGAAGTTTTGGTCCAATTGTTCAAAAGTTTGAGAGTTTTTTATCTTAATTTTTAATGTGTTTATTTCCATGTATTAATGACACTATACTGATACCTTGAATACAAATACCGGTAAAATGAAAATTACTTTTACAAAGATAAAACAAATTTAGACATTGTTTCACTGTATTGTCTTATTATCCAAATTTTTTTTAGGCTCATTTTTCAAAGAAGAAGTTGGCCACAAAATATGGAAAGGTGTCGTCAAGTACACAGTCAAGGCTTTCATCTTGGAATCTGATGAACCAATAGAGTACACACAACCAATTATAATCCAACCAACCAATATATTCTCAGAGAAGTTATTGTCCCCAAAGCCGACTAAAGTAACAGGGATTGTCAAAAAATGTTTCTGTTATAGTCGTGGTGAAGTTCATGTTGAGGCTAAGTAAGTTTGTATTCAGTATGTTACCTTAGTAACAAGTTGAGTGTTTTTTGTAGCATTTTGATGCATGATTGATTAGTACTCATGTTGAAAATTGGATCTGAGACATCATGATAAATTACATCAGTAGGATTTTGGTGGAAGGTTGATAAGTTGATAGTGGGAATTTGGTCAGTAGGCATACAGTGGGAATTTGGTCAGTAGGCATACAGTGGGAATTTGATTAGTAGGCATACAGTGGGAATTTGATTAGTAGGCATACAGTGGGAATTTGATTAGTAGGCATACAGTGGGAATTTGGTTAGTAGGCATACAGTGGGAATTTGGTCAGTAGGCATATAGTTGGAATTTGGTCAGTAGGCATACAGTGGGAATTTGATTAGTAGGCATACAGTGGGAATTTGGTCAGTAGGCATACAGTGGGAATTTGATTAGTAGGCATACAGTGGGAATTTGATTAGTAGGCATATGGTGGGAATTTGGTTAGTAGGCATACAGTGGGAATTTGGTTAGTGGGCATATGGTGGGAATTTGGTTAGTAGGCATATGGTAGGAATTTGATTAGTAGGCATACAGTGGGAATTTGGTTAGTAGGCATATGGTGGGAATTTGGTTAGTAGGCATATAGTTGGAATTTGGTTAGTAGGCATACAGTGGGAATTTGGTCAGTAGGCATATGGTGGGAATTTGGTTAGTAGGCATATGGTAGGAATTTGGTTAGTAGGCATATAGTTGGAATTTGGTTAGTAGGCATACAGTGGGAATTTG